TCCCCCGATCTCCCCCAGCCAGCCCCAGTGCCCCCAACCAGCTCTGCTTCCTGGTCCTCCCCCTTCCTCCCAGCCAGCCCCACTCCCCTCCTGGCCAGTTCCTCCCCCATCATCCCCGATCAAGTGTTGTTTTTTTTAAGACTACCTGGTAACTGTAGCCGCGGGGAGGCAGGACGGGTGCCCAAGCCGTTGTGCACGTGGGGTGGGTGAGTCCCGGACAGTGCTAGGGGACACAGGTGGTGGGCATGTGACCTAGAGTGGGCAGGGCTGCCCCTGCAGCACAGTGTGGCAGGTTATTTTTTATTTTTACAGGTTGAGATCGGGCCCGATCGGGTCCAAAAAATACCTTAAAACCTTCTCCTGGAGGAAAGGTTATCCCATGCAAAGTTTGGTTGCGGTAGCTCATATAGTGTCCAAATTATTAGTGCACAAACATACAAACATTCTCCTTTATATATTAGACTAGAAGTCACGGTTGTCCCTATCTGCATTCCACATATAAATGCACCATGCACCAGAGTCTAGAATTTCCTACAAGCAATATGGCCTACACATGCCCAGTAGCACTTCTTGTGCTCCTAACAGAGGGCATATAGTGCAGTACAAACCAATACCTCACCAGTTTCCCTGTAATGAATCCACAGCAGGGAGGACAGAGGGTGTGTAGTGAAATACAGAGACACCAGACATCCCAAAGACATCTCCATTTAAAGGTATGTAATCTCAATTTCTTCTTTGAATGACAGTCTTTGTAAGTATTCCACATGATTAACAAGCAATAGTCAAACAGAGGGTGTGAGAGAAAGGATGCAGAACTGATAGCTCTGTGTAGTACTGCTGTCCCCACAGCTGTATCAACTGTTGCTGACAAGACCAGGGCATACCATCTCCAAAGTAGCTGCCCTACCTATCTTTAGGACAAGTACAGGTACATCTCCCAGAAATGCATCTGAAGTAGCTTGACCCTGGTGGAAGCTGGAAAGGATGGGAAATAGAGTCCAGATAGCTAGTAACAAAAGGCAATACAATCTGAAATCCATTTCAGAAGTCTCCGCTTTGATATATCCTCTTGATTGACATACTATGGAGACAAATAGTTTAGGTATCTTTCTAACATACTTTGAAGATAAAAGGCCAATGCCCGCTGGATATCCAGAGATTAGGGATGTTAGATACCAGGTAACAGAATAGTCAACTATCCAAATGAATTCTTAGCAGTTAGTTGACCATTCTATAGTCCCCGCAGGCAGGGCCAGCAGCCTCTGCACACCAGCCCCATTCCTAGAGAGCCTCCTGCCACCCTGTGCTGCTGCCTCTATCAGAGGAATCAATGCGGGATACAATGTGAGGGGAGGCTGCCACCAAGGAGCCTCTGCTTGCGGTGGGCCCCATGCTGCCAAGG